TGCTGAGTCTTCATTAATTTTTTGTGAATTTTTTCTTCCCCCATAGGAAATAATGGAGCTGTCAGATTTTGACAGCTGTCAAAAGTTGGGGGGAAAAATTCACCATAAATTAATGAAAAGTCAGATCAAAGCCAAATTAACTTTTGCATCCGTTTTAGAGGGTGCAGAAGCTAATCCAAGCATTTAAAACCATTTTTGACCCTTTTATGACACACTTAATTTTGCAAAAATTGACTTCGCAAAGCCATTGAAATGTATTGAGTCAGCTTCAATACATTCCAATGGAGGATACATTGTTTCGCTTAGCGATGTTTCCTATGGGTTTTTTCGCTTAACAACGGCAATCCGTTCCAATTGGAACGGATTAACTGGTTTCCAATGCATTCCTATGGGAAATGGTGTTTCGCATAGCGATGGTTTCACATAGCGATGTTTTTTTTTGAACCAATTAACATCGCTATGCGAGGCACCACTGTATTCATGCGGGACAGCAGTCTTGGAGAACAGCAATGAAAGGAAATCAGGTTGGGAGTACAGTGGTGCCTTGCAAGACAGTTGCCTCGCGGGACAATTAATCCGCAAGACTATTGTTTTTTGCGATCGCTGTTGCACTTTGCAAGACGGTTTTTCCTATGGACAATTTTTGCAAGACGATGTTTGGGTCTATGACTCGCAAGACACTTTTTTAAAGAGATGCTTTTTCGCAAGACAATGTTTTTGACAGTTGGGTCTGTGACTCGCAAGATTATTTTTTAACGGATGCTTTTTCGCAAGATGAATGTTTTTCTATGATATTTCGCAAGACAACGATTTTTCCCCCATTGGAAGGCATTAATTAGATTTCAATGCATTCCTATGGGGAACCACATTTCACAAGACGATGTTTTCACAAGACGACATTTTTCGCGGAACGAATTAACATCGTCTTGCGAGGCACCACTGTACTATATGTAAGAAACACATTCAGATTGGTTTCACAAAGATTCTGTGGTATTAACTGCATGGGATCAAACATTTGCAGTAATTGTAGGAGAAAAAGAGTAGGGAGGCCGGAGGTAACATTCCTCACTTGGGTGGGAAAGCTAGAGATCTACCCTCTCAACAGAAATGAGTTTGGAAATATTACTTTTGGGTGTACAACTCCAAGAATCCACCAACCATCATACCTATTTGCCAGCTGGACGTTCTGGGAGCTATAGTCCAGAAAAATAACTTTTCTAAGCTTTGGCAATAATCTGCTGGGATCTCTGTAAAACAACTCTCCTTGCCTTTGCTCCAAGGGTCTCACCATCTCTACTATCTCTGAAAACAGATCAAACAGTTTTTCTATCATACATGTATAATATAATTCATTGGCTTTCTCCCACAGGCTTTATGTTTCAGGAGCTGATTATAATATTTGTTTCAAATTATACACTACAGAGCACAGTTTATTCCTCATATGCATTCCTGGGTTCTCTGTGACTGCAAAGCTGTGTTTGTCTACTAAAATACTTCTGACAGTATGCTGCAATTATAGCACCAGCATAGAAGCAGCTACTTTGTAGATGTCAGAAACAGTATTTGGAAGTTGGCAGGTTCATATATTTCACATTTAACGGACACTTCCTCTCACATAGATGGAGGAATCATACAGATCCCTCTACCAGTAGCTGTGTAGTACTAATTCTCAGTACTTTACAACAATGAGATACTCCTCACTATTTTGGGTCACGTGGCAAAGGCAAAATGCTGAGCAATGATTCCAACAAGGCGAGGACTAAGTGAATTTGGGAGAGAGAACGATTCATCCTATATACGTGTGTGTGTATATAGTGATCCTCACTAGACGTTCTAGCCTTCCTAGTGTTACGATCACACGCAGCTACCAGAGTGCTGATTGCGATACTGATCACTCCCTGGTGTGTAGTAGAGTAAAACTGCGAACAAAGAAATTGTATCACATGAAAAAGGAAGGAAGACCACGTATTGACATCAACAAGACTCGCGATCAAAGAAAAGTGAAGGAATTTGCCCAAGCACTCGAGGAAACCCTTCCAGGTCCAGCTAATGTAAATGCACCTGAACGATGGGAACACTTCAAGAACACTGTCTACAACACCGCCTTGTTCACCTTCGGCAAGAAGACCAGAAAGATGGCTGACTGGTTCGAAGCCCATTCGGAGGAGTTAATGCCAGCCATTGAGGATAAGAGAAGAGCTCTAGCAGCATACAAAGCCTGTCCTAGCGAGTACAACCTGCAAGCTCTTCGAGCTGCTCGTAGCCAAGTCCAACAGGCTGCCAGGAGATGCTCCAATGACTATTGGCTTCAGCTTTGCTCTCAGATACAGATAGCAGCGGACACAGGTAACATCAAAGGAATGTATGATGGTATCAAGCAGGCCTTAGGTCCATTACAGAAGAAATCTGCTCCCTTGAAGTCTACTACAGGTGTGATCATCCAGGACCGAGCACAGCAGATGGAACGCTGGGTGCAGCACTACTCCAAGCTATATTCCAGAAAGAATGTAGTAACCGAAGAAGCATTAAATAACATTGAGTGCCTGCCTGTCTTGGAAGAGCTGGACAGCGAACCAACCCTAGCAGAAATAAATACGGCCTTGGATTCCCTCACCTCTGGCAAGGCACCTGGAAGGGACAACATCCCTGTTGAAGTGCTGAAATGCGGTAAGGAGATCATCATCACCGAACTGTATGAAATCTTTTGTCTCTGCTGGAGGGAAGGTGGAGTAACACAGGACATGAAGGATGCAAACATTGTCACATTGTACAAGAACAAAGGTGACAGGGGTGACTGCAATAACTACCGTGGTATCTCTCTTCTTAGCATTGTAGGGAAGCTGCTTGCCCGTGTTGTGCTGAAGAGGCTCCAGGTGCTTGCAGACAGAGTCTATCCGGAATCACAGTGTGGATTTCGAGCAAATAGATCCACCACTGACATGGTATTCTCCCTCCGACAGTTGCAGTTTGTTCTCTTGCCAAAACTAAGGAAAGTGTGTGTGTGTGTGTGTATAGATATAAATATAGATACAGTATAGATATAGATATAGGAGAGCCTTGTTTTGGCAAGAGACTATGGCAAAATATTGATAACTTTCCACGTTAGGCAAAATCCAAAGAAACCACACCACACAAAAACAAAAACATGTGGCACTGTTACATTTTAATGTCAACTTTCATGGGCAAGTTCACTTCGTCAGACAGACTAAAACGGCTACCTCTTCTATTCCCGCATGTTGCAACAGTCAAACAGGCCTCAAGACTAGAGGATTTGCTAGTTATTTTCCTCACCCCATCCCTCAAAGAAATGTCAGCAAGTTCAAACATAACACAAGTGTATTTTTAGGCTTGGCTGGCAATATAACTATCAAGACATTCTTTGGTGGTTAAATGTGGCTCTCTGGAGAAGGATAAGCACTATGTGAAAAAGCACACACTCTGCAGTAGAAAGCCTCAGGTTGAATTCTTGTGGCACAGTGGTTAAACTACTATACTGCAGCCAAAACTGTTCATGACCTGGGGTTCTATGCTGGGTAGGCGGCTCAAAGTTGACTCAGCCTTCCATCCTTCCGAGTTCAGGAAAATGACTACCCAGCCCACCAGGGTGGGGGGTGGGGAATGAGTAGCCTGCATAATTAACTTGTAAACTGCCCAGAAAGTGCTTGAAGAGCTGTGGGGTGCTATATAAACAGAACGCTTTGCTTTTTAAAAAATGTTACAAGGCAGTTTGAAAACATTATTGTTTTGGACAAGACTTCCCAGCATCCCCAAACCATTGGCCATGAAAGCAAAGTGTGAAGCATTAGAAGGAAGAGATTCAGCGTAGCCTAAGGCTGCTATCCTGTTTGGTATTAACACGTGTACAGAGCTTCATAGCAGCTTCCACACTTTCAGCTCCATGCATGTAAACAATGAACACAAACAAAATATTGGTCTAAAAAGTAGTTTTTTAAAATCTGCTTTGGCCACATTAGCCCTAGTCTCATAGGAAAACACTAGCACCTAAACAGACCTATATCCGGGCACTTGGATGATAACAAGAAGGGAAATTTGCCTGTTTTTTGGATTACACCCCCATCAGCCCTAGTCAGCACAGCTAGTGGTCAGGAACACTGGGAGTTGTATCCGAAGGACCTTATAAGGGCTGCCCTTTGCCCACCTCTACTTCGTTCCCTCCCTCTGGTCTTGGTATCGACTGTGTTCTGGCAGATAGACAAAACCAGTCTTCTTTGAGCAAAAGGTGTTTTGGAAACATTTTTCCATAAGTTCATCCCTCCACTTGGGATGTGGCTGACATACTGGGCAAAAGAAAAAGGAGCCAAGAAGCTGATTGTGAAGGAGGTCTGAAGGAGAGTGTGCCGTCTCACGAGACAGAGGGCAGAGTGGGATGATTGGAACCAGAAAGCGCCGGTTTAAAGTTGGACCCAAAGGAAAACATGACTGAGGAGGGGGAGGGGAAGAGAGCCAAAAGAAAGGAGAAGGTGGAAATATGTCTGGTAGAGGACCGCGGGTGTCAGAAGGGGGAGGAGCGAGAGCTGTCAGTTTGGGAGGAGAGTATAAGTAAACAAGGCGAGCGGCGGTTCGAGGTAGAATTGGACTTATGGAAGAGAGTTGGAAAAGCTAAGGGACTATCAGAAATAAAAACCCAAGAATTATTAAGAGATTTTCCCAACCTGAACTCAGGGGGATTGCTCCCAGACCCCCCACATAAGAAATCAGGAGAAACAAGATACGAGACCTTAGAGTGACCAGTGATAGTATTTCCTAAGGGGAAAGGGAGAAGACGCCAGGTGATCCGATCGGATTCAAGATTCAACACCCCCCCCACCTGAGGGGGACTGGGCCCGGCACCCATGCTGTGGCACCATCTGTGCAGTGAAGAGTGCACCCCTCCGGAAGCCCACCAACACAGAGAAATTTGGCCCAGCACCCCTGTGAGTTCAACAGACTTTGGGCAGGAATTTGTACTGGACATTTATGGCTTGTTGCCAAAGTTAAGCGTTTTCGATCCAATTACGAACAGTGCTGATCATCATGTAAATAATATAGTTAAAGATGTTAGAATTAAGAAGATGGCTCCTGTGGTATTTCCCGCACAAAATGAGGAGTTGTCAAAATTTGAAACTGAACCCGATCACACTGATCCCAGCACAGAGAAAGAAGCAGAAATAGTGATGGGCCTGGCTTCTGGCTGAGGCCTACTGGACTCCCGACTAGGACCAGGCTTTCAAGTGCTGCGTGCTGGCCTATTTATTCAAGCAAACAGCCTGGTCAGGGGAAGCAGGGGTCCCAGTGAACCGAAAAGACCAGGGACTAATGTGGTGGCCCAGAGTAGAAAGGAAATAGTCATTCTTTTGTAACTGCCAAGGCCAGTTTTTCTTTGGGTTCTTTACAGCCTCTATCACAGACTAGACTCGGGCTGGACTGTCACCGTCCCCTTTCCTGTTTGACTGGGTCCTGTTATGTCTTCCGTGTTGTCAGTCTTTGGGCTATGACATACAAACTGTTCCTTAAGAGACCGTAAACGTGGGTTTGTTTGCTTCATATCTGTAATTGGCAAAGTCTTCATCCAAGCCATACAGATGAATAAGAACACTGAGGTGTGTGTAATATTTGGGCCAAGACAAACTATCGTCAAGTTTTGCTTTCCACCTCTGCATAGCTTCTTTCTGCTGTTGCTCATGTTTTGGATTAATCAGACAACCAAAACGGAACTCTCCACCCTTCCATTCCTGTGTTGAAATTCTTACGCCTTCTTTTTTCCTCTCTCGTTCTTTTCCCCTCATTTCATGATCTTGTGAAACATGTCTATTTAGGCTTTCTCTCCATAGCCTGGACATTTGTGGTAAGCTAATGGATCACATAGTACATTCCACCCCTATTATAAGCCAGCCTGGCTACTGGAGAATTCTGGGAGTTATTGTCCCAAACATTAACTTTTCTCATTTCAGGTTCTTGGTGTTTTTCCCACCTCTCTAGCTTTTGCAAAAAAAGGGCCCCTTGCTGCTCACTGGAAACATTCAGAGATAATGACCTCACTGTATATTCATTCCCTTTGCCCATGGAAGTTTCATTAAGTTCTCACAAGGTCAGTTGGTACTGGTAGATTTGTTTTTCTTTTCCTCTAGGTTCCCAAGTGACTTCTCTTTTATACCTTCTTCAGCCTTTTCTCACGTTAAATGTATGCAGGGGCTGGAGGGAGCATCTCATACACATTTATTTATTTTTATATTAATTTTTATATATTGATTGATTGATTCATGTTTATTGATTTTATTTATTATATTTCTTCAATATTTCCTTTATTATTGTTACCTTATATTACTTATTGTTAATCACCCAGAGTAATGCCATGCACCAATCAGGTGATGTAGAAGTCCATTAAATCAGTAAGTAAATAAGTAAGGTAACATTAAACAACTTAGCCAGGGTAATTGAAAGTGTTTTTAGCAGAATCACAAAAGAGTAGTAGATGCTGGGGTTACTTAGTGCTCAACACTTGAATTTCCAGATGTTTTTAATGACACCTCCCAGAAGCTGCAGCCAGTAATCAGTGGTAAGGAATTGTGGGAGAGGAAGTAAAAAATAGTGGGGGTGCGGCAAAGATTGATAACGACTAATCTAGTCCACCTCCTCCTTAATTTAGGATCTGTAACGGAGGATTCAATTATAGCTCCCCCTACTGCTCCATACACCATTGTGAAGTGAGTGAGAGACTGCATTTTTCTGTGTATATGACTCCCCCTATGTATAAGACAACCCCCTAATTATTACCCTTGCCGGAGGCAGAGGAGCAGTCAATGGGCAGCCACAAGGAGTGGCCTAGAGCGGGGGCTCCTCCGCCTCCGCCTCCTGCTGTTTCCGCCGCCCGGAGGCGACTGCCAGGGCTTACATCACCGACTTCTCCCCTGCCCGAAGGAGACAATTGCTGAAGGAGGTGATCTGATGGCAGCGGCAGCAGTCAATGGGCAGCCCCAAGAGGCGGCTGAATGCGGCTGCTCCTCCACCTCCTGCTGCCGCCTTCCGTGTATAAAACAACCCTCAAATTTTTCCTCTAATTATTTTAGGAAAAAAGTGTTGTTTTATACATGGAAAAATACAGTACATTTATTCGGAGGAAATGCTTTAGGAGAAATAGTACTGCCCTGTTTCAGATGGAAAGACCAAAGTCCCCTCAGAAGCCTGGCACAAAATGGAGGTAGAGGCTAGCAAGTGGAAAATTGAGATTCTACCAGTATCTACCTGGGGACCAGTATCCCTTCAGCACTTAGCTTCAGAGAAACCAGTGTAGAGAAATTTCTCTTAAAAATCTGCCAGGAGGCTAAGTTGCAAGATATCAGGGAAATCAGTACATACACAACAGCATGCAATTAAGAAGTCCAAAGAATCAGAAATGCATAGGAAAGATTTACAGGAAGGTACACAAAGGATTATAAGTAAGTAATTAAAACTAGTATTTCTTTCAAGTTTCTTTGTTTTCCAACATGATAGATTAGTACCTCCTCAGGAAGAGGTTTGTGTATATGGTTTTATGATATTGTTGTTACATGAATGTCTCTATGTGTCTTCATGCCTAGTAAAGGATGGCTGTTTTCCCCATAATACATTGGCTTAGCTATATTACAAGGTATAAGAAAATATATTGATTATTTCTAATGTATTTATGTAATTGCTAAATTCTAACACATATAGTTACAATGAGGAGGGATCTCTTCCACCTGTTACGGTTTCATGACTCTCATCTCCCACAACATGACTGACCTGTTGTGTCCTCTAATGAGCTGTAGGAAAAGTGGGCTTTGCTTGGGTATCACAGATCTCTATACTCACCCACATACAGACAGCAGTAAGGCTTCGTCCTGCCCAGTCAAAAACATTAAACATCAAGAAACAGGAGACTGGGGTGAAGTATTTAGCTGAAGAGAGAGCAAAGGGGACGAGTAATCAGTGCCACGTTTTCTCATGAACAGACACACATGCAGCCTAAGGCTGCACTCACAGGATTGTCTATCTATGAGGCAACATAAACCACACTCTTGCATCTTCCTTTTTAAAAAAGATTTATAATTACATACAAAACAAAACTAAAGAAAGCGTACATACACTTAATGTGCTCCACCTCCATTTGTGACCAATGAAGTTATTCTATTTCCTTTCTTTTATGGAGTGCCATTTGTCTTCCAGAAATACATTGACTCTTGTGAAGGTACACAACCCTTCCCCTTTTTTAGTATGAAATCAACAATATTCCCATGTATCCCTAAACATATTCTTATTTGACAATCCCTTTTTTTACTTCGACATTACATGTCAACTGATCATTATAGCCCACATTTTATACTATTCATTTAATTGAAGATTGCACTTAACTTTCCAGTTCTTTGCTATTATTAATTTAGCTGCTGTTATTAGATTTGTGATCACTTCTTTCGCATCTTGCACCTTCCTGATATATGTAAAATGACTATAATGGAAGGAATAAATCCTACAACTAGGGGAGGGTCTGTCATTGCTGAAGCACTTGTGTCTGTTAAATTAATGTAAAATGCAGCCCTTAAAGAAGCATCGTTGTTTCTGTTTTTAAAGCTAGCAGGGGAAAGAATAAAATTATGCTAGATATAAGAATACAAAGTAGCAGTTTGCATACGTGGTCAAAAATGCCTTATTCTTCTCCTCTGGTTGCATTCTACAGTAATAAAGCCAGGCTGCAAAGTCCTGTTCTGCCATTTAAAAAAAAATCCTATTCAGGACTGGATTCTTCTGTTTTACCACCCTCTCCTAAATTCTTCTCCATACCCTTTTGTAGACCCTTATTCTCCATACTCATTATAAGCTCACTTACATTGTAAAACTCTCTAATCAACTACACTACATATTGGCTACTTCTTACTGACACTATTCACATTGGTCCTGTCCTTATAATACACATTGATTGTGGTGACTCTTTTTTATTTTCTTCAGAAAAATACAGGCACCGGTACATTTTCACAGTCATGATGTAAATCCAGACAGGGCAGTGCATGATGTCTATCCAGACAGGTGCAGGCAGACAGAAGGACAGGAAGATACACAAGGTTTGTCCAAACAGGATATGAAAAACTAAATACGGAAGCCTCTTTTAGTTTTCAATTCCCATGTCCCACCCTAGCTACTGTCAGGGATGTAAAGTTCTCCTAAATCTTCTTCCCATTGAATACTCTGCCTTCCAAGTCCTCCTCTCCAGGCTAAACCTATATTTAACCCATACAATTCTTTCCTGCTCATGGTAAGTCTCCTCCTTACAAACTTCAACAAGGATTAGGAATGTGTGGCCTTCCAGACTGCAAGCTCCTAACCAAGGCAAGTCCAAGAACATTTGAAGCATGACAAATTCCCTCCTCTGGGTTTACAGGGAACTATGTGAAGACACATGACTAAGTGCTACTTTGTTCAAACGGAACAGATCCCGACCTACCCAAGTTTCTCAGAATCCAGGTGCTAAAAGCCATGGTCCATACCACTTGCTAAATTAACATTTCCCTTACCCCAGATTGTCTGTCCTGCAATGGTTGACACAACTGCAACAGTGACTGCTGGGAAGACTCCAATTGTGACTGTAAAGACTAAGCAGACAGAAACAGCCATGACCCAGATCTAAAGGAGAGAACAGAACAAGTATATGTAACAATAAATCCAGCCTAAGAATCCAAGGCACCTTTCTTTAACCAATACAACAATATAAAACATTTCAGTGTACAGGAAAGACACCTGTTCCAGTGATCAATCTGTAGCTCTAGTACCTTTTTGAAGATACTGAAGACTGAGGACTTGTCGTTTGGTACGTGGGAGGCCCCGTTCACAGAGTATTTGAGTTCCGTACTATTGACTTCACCTATAGAAAGGGGATAAAATTGTATAAAATTGTGAGGTTGATACAGATTACAGTCATGTCAAGAAGAAAGTATACCCTCTTTGAATTCTATGGTTTTATGTATCAGGACATAATAAAAATCATCTGGTCCTTAGCAGGTCTGAAAATTAGGTAAATACAACCTCAGCTCAACAGCAACACATGATATATTACACAGTGTCTTGATTTATTTTACAAAAATAAAGCCAAAATGGAGCAGCCATGTGTGAAAGCCATCTATTCAAGACTAGCACTGGATGTTATTGCCATATGCTGCCAGAATCATACCATCTTCATTGGCTTCTAGTTTATTTCTCAGATGAATTAAATGTGCGGGTTTTAATCTATGAAGTCCTCCTCCAGCCTGAGGTCCCAGCATCTGAAAGAATGCATCCTTTCCATCCATGTCCTCAGATTCTTACCAGAAGCCCTGCTCCAAGTGTGACCACCTACTGCAGTGCAGGTGGGGAGCTCTTAATCACTAAATTAGCTGCACACATTTTTCTCCCTTTTCCTTTTACCTTTCTTGATGAGATCAACTTTGGTTTCCATCTCACAGTGGGCCTCATGGACCCGATACTCCGTCTTGTCCTTCATGGAGTAATAACGGAAGAAGTCCTGTGAACAAAGAAAGCTTCAGGGTTTCTGTTGGCATGAAAAGGAAAAACCCAACTTCCATAAGGAGATGGCAAAAGTAACAAATGCCAGGAATTCTTCTGTGGATGAAGTGAAGAGCCTGGTGTACCTTGGAAAATGGCATCCATAGGTCAGAAGTGGGGAAAAACAACCCACCACCACCACTTGTTCACTATGTCTATATACACAGGACCAGCTTCAATGAAACAGTCAATCATTACCAGACGAGGCAGCATGATATAGGAACCAATGGCCATCAGGATCACTACACAGGCTGTGATGAAGTAACCAAAGGCACTGTCTTCCAGTTTAGAGCCACCTGGAAGAGATTTATAAAAAAAGTGGTTGGCAAGGCTTTCCTCCCACATTGATTCTGGAATGGAACAGAGGTAACAACTGATCTCTCTCTGGAAAACCTGTTCAGGTCAGGTGTCATCTAGTTCAGCTCCTTGCACAAAGAATGGCCTAATCACAAGCCCACTTGGTAGATCCAGACCACAGATTGCCTGCAGAGCCAATAATTTTGAAAACCTCATAATCTCAGTGTTTACCCTTCATGTCACTGATCCTGGGCAGGTAGGGGCTGAGGCAACTAGGCTGTAGGGGGGGAAAGGGTCCCTATATTAAATTTTGTTTTATCTATCTCCCACTTTTCTCCCAGTGCAGGATCCGAGGGGGCTCACAACATGAATTAAAATCAGCCATAACTAAAGCACAAATAATTACATATGTTATCATATTAAAATAAGCACTAAATTAAAATAATTTGTAAACCTCCAGAAGCAGAAGAAAAAAAGAATGGGGGAAACCATACACTATTCAAAAACTTTTCCTGGGCAGCCAATCAGTGGCTTTAAAAAGTGTGCTGCTTATATACTGCCCCATCATGTTTAAAGCACTCAGGGCAATTTTATTCAGGTTACACACTGCTTCCCACAACAACCTGGGTACTCAGTTTACCGACCTTGGAAGGATGGAAGGCTGAGTGAACCTTGACACAAGTACATGGGACTGAACCCCAGTCATGAGAAGAATTTTGGTTGCAGTACAGCAGTTTAACCACTGTGCCACGAGGCTCCTCATATAAATAAATGTCTTTGCGTGTCAGCATGACAACAGAAAGAAGGCTAGCTTAGCCTCCCATTGGAAAGGAGTTCTATAGTTTAGGAGCAGTCACCCAGACAGCCCTCTTTATGTTCTCACCAAATGTGGCTGTGAAAGAGAAAGGCTTTTGCAAATATCTCATGATACACACAGGGAGGCTTCTATGGGGAGATACAGTCTTTCAAATAACCTGGACCCAACTGTGCAAAATTCCTGCTCAACACTGAAACCTGGGCATCTAGCCCTCAGGGCAGAACCCAGAACTCCAGAGCTGTGAACTCCTTTTTTCCAGGATGAAGATAAGGGTCTCTTGTGACATGACCCATCAAAACAAATTGTGACTCAAGCTGCCCTGCTAGGAGAGGAGTGAGAAGGAAAGAGAGGACTACTCACTGGCAATGGCGCAGATCATGGCCAGAGCGGCAAACGTCCCTGCAAGGCCCTGCCCACTCATAATAGGTGCTGTGTAGCTGGCAGGCAGGAGCCCTGCCAGTCCAAAGAGGCTGCCCTGGAGGATGGCACCAAAAGCTGTCAAGGAAAAGGGCAGACAGAGAAACAGTCACAAAGGAACCGGAGACAAATCTTGTTTGAAGGATTGCAGCCTTCACCAGGGCTCAGGGCCAGCAGACTGGAGACACAGGTGGTATCATCATCATGTTTTGTATGTCACACTCAGCATCTTGGAAAAAACCCTGCAACTCTTCTAAATCAGCCTTCCCCAAACTAACGCTCTGGATGTGAGACTATGATTGCCACCTCTCTCAACAAATGTGGCCAATGACTCTGCTAGCTGAGGGTGATGGTGGTTGCAGTTTGATATATGCAGAATATGATGAAATGACTAAAGAATTGATAACTAATCTAATAACAGCAGCTAGATTGGTTATAGCTAGACAATGGAAATTAAAGATTGAATTACAAATTGAAGAATGGTATAAAGAAATATGGAATACAGCAATAAATGATAAACTAACTTGTAATATAAAGATTAAGAAAGGAGAGTTGAAAAAAAGGACAATTTTTATGTAATATGGGGCAAATTTCTGGAATATGTGCTTATAAGGGGGAAAGGGAAAGCTCCAAATCAAGAATCTATGCAGTTCTGGAGAAGAGGACAATAGAAGAAGAAAAAGGAGAAGAAGAAGAATATGGCAAGAGGTCCCGTATATGGTGGTGGGGAACACAGTTATTGTATTTGAGTTTATATGTTTTATGCATATGATTTTGTTTTTGTTATAGTTATAGAAATAATTTTTTTAAAAAAAGTAGCTTTGAATTAGGTTATTCAATGACATTGAGAGAAGTTCTATCATGGAACACAGCAGTGGTGGGCAGACTGTAGGTTTGTGGGAGGTTCTTTGTTTTGCAGCAGCACCTCAACATCTGCCAACTGAAACCAGCTGCAAAACAGTAGCAACCACAGAATTCTGTGAAACATGATACTTTTTGACATCTGCTCAGCCCAGGAATTGGTTTTCAGTACCACAGCAGGATATGATTTTTCCCCCCCACATATGAAACTAATACTTCTGAACTACTGGGAGCGAGAATCCCTTGATGATCTACTGCAGATCACCCAGAGATCAGTTGTTAGATTGTGATATACTTTTTGGCTGCACTCTGGGTATGGCATTAAAACAATATTTATAAACAGTGCTTTCTGAGAATAACTGTACAGGTGAAGTGCATATGGGTAACTTTCACCCATATCAAGGCCAAATTGCAGTTGATTCCCACTTACAATTGATGAAGACGATCTTGATCATGGTGACAATAAAGAACGGCAATGGTTCCATGGGTACTTTCACTAGGATGGCTGTAACCAGGAAGACCAAGAAAATGGCAATCAGGCTGCACAAGATCCGTACCTGCTGGGGGATCCTAAGAAGTGGAAAGGGATATTTTATGCTGTTAGCCGCCTAGAGTGATCTTAACCGACCAGATAGGCGGGATATAAATAAATAAATAAATAAATAAATAAATAAAAATATAAATATAATAACAACGACAACGACAACGACAACGACGACAACAATAACAACAATAACAACAATAACAACAATAACAACAACAACAACAACAACAACAACAATAATAATAATAATAATAATAATAAAGGGAAAGGGAGCAAAGAAACAATGAAAGACTCTGAAGACAAGAGGGCATTCGTTCTTAATAATGTGAATGGATCAGCCACTTGTTTTGCTGGAAGATGTCAGAAGGCTTGGCTTCCGTTTCACATCTAAAAGCAAAAAGAAGCCTATTCAATCCTATCCCATGTGAATGCTTCAGCTAACGGATGCAGTAGCCTCTATTTACATAAATAAGCACCATCCACTGTGACACATTTCATCTGTGAACACAACTGGAGAGAATACTTGTTATGGATCAGAAAAATCTGGTTCAAATTCTGGGAGAACCAGCCTTAACATGTAAATCTTTCTCTTTAAAGTTTCCCTTTATGAGAAGCAGGAAAAACAACCACCTACACCACTAAACTAAAGAAAATGGAAACATGTAACAGTGCAGATACATCAGTAAGAACTTTGTGTATTGTTTATTTTTACATGTAAATACTATGCAGCTGTAACTTTTGTGATGAAAACCCAATCAGTTATTGTACAATCGTGGATTGTCTCAAAACTGTTTGCCTTGGCAGGGGCAAAACTTCATTCTGTTGGGAAGAGACTTTGTTCCATTGGAAAGGTCAACATTGGCCTGGTTTGGATGGACAACAGAGAAAAAGTTGAGTCCTTTGGGGACTCAACTTTTGAAGACCTCACCTTTGGTGGATGAAGGAATTGAGGCAGGTGAAGATGAGTAGAGGCAACATGGCACAGATTGTCATCACATTGTCGAATATGGCTTGCAAGTGTGAGTGGAGGACTTCCTCCTTCCCCATGGAAGTTCTATTAGCATGACTGATGTGGGAATTCTCCTGCAGGTATTCAGAAAATGGGTACAGTTGGCCAGATACTTGACACATAAGGTTAATGGGTGGAAGCTGAAGAATGCTGACTATACTGTATGTCTCATTCAAACCCAAGCGACCACTGTCAAACCCAAGGGACTACTTTCTTCTGGGTCACACATAATGTACCCCACCACATCTTTTATTCTGGTCTTGTATAGAATTGTAAGTATCTGTCACAGATAGTCTTGCTGACCTTTCGATACTTCTCTACTTTCTTTGACTCAATTGAAATCAAGTGCAGCTTACTTTTATACCAAAAAATACTTTTACCTGTTTTTCTCAGTGCTTGAAAAGATTATTCTTAGGACTACAATTCCCAGAATCCTCCAGCTGCATGGCCAATCTCTTTATCTCTCTATTGCCCATAGGCGAGCCTCTTTCCAGAGACCATAAATTAGCCTTCTGACATCTTGTTCTCCCACTCGTTTAGTTGTTCAGGGCTTAAAAACTGGAAAGTGGACTATCCTTTCTGGGCCATAGTAGTTCTCCTGAAATTCCTCCACACCTCAGCTCCAGTGCAGGCAGCAACAGGAAAACCTGGTACATTTTTATTCTCTTTCTCAGACTGATCTTACAGGCCATATAAGGGCACATGAAAGGAGACTGATGGTACATCAGGCCACTCTGCTCCAGCAGCCATCATGTGGGAGGTACATACAAGATACACTTTAATTTCTCTAAACAAACTTTATTTGCACTTGCAACGTATTACTGTTTTGTTCTTGGTCATTATCTACCCCAGATGAAGGCATCCAGACACATTTCTTACGCACAAGTAGCTCACATCTCTTATGAACTTACATTATTTAATATGGATGTTGGGGGAACATCCTTCTCCCCTGTGACATTCTGGTCAGCGTAGCGGTCAGTGGGGCTGATGTGTGCACCCTCCTGGAGGCGGCTGGTAAAGTACTGCAGACAATGGACACAGAAGTGTGTGTGGCAACATGAAAAGCCACCTCTCATATCAATCAGCTAGCTGTACAGGGCTAATCACTTAATAAACTAAACATTCTTTTTGTTATAGTACAAATATTTTAAATTGTTTAGGCATTGTTTCTCTCCCCCATATGTCCAGAGAGCAGTATCAGAATTCCTGGTCATACTTATCAAGACTTCCTTCACAGTCTTCAGATTCCCTCATGATTCTTACACAGTCACATTTCTCCAATCCCCTCGTGTCTTTCAGCAATTACTGTAGAAAGCTGGTTGCATTCACCAAATGCATTATATAAACTGCAGATGTGTGCAAGCCAGACACAATTGGTTGCATCTATGTCCCAGGGAAATTGACTCCTGTGGTTTTAAACTTTGACCAGGTTAGGGAGGCCAGTTGGGCCAACATAAGGAGGTCTGTATTATTACCATTTTTTAAAATCTTGAATGAAATCTAAGAGTCCAGGCATAACTTAAACATTTGCTGGTGTTTCACAGCCTTTTGATACTGGGATAGCTTTTCTCTGAACGAAAACTAAAAAAACCTTCTGTTTTTACACCAGACATTTTTCTGTCTCTCTGTTTATTTTCCTGTCTATTTCATTAGCAGACAGAAAAATAGGCAAGCATCCTGCCCGCAGCTGCAGCATAACCTGGTGGCACACCCTTCCCTATACTAGGTTAAGTCAGATTGAACTTTTTGTGCAGCAGCAGTCCTTCAATAATTCCTTCAGACTTCAGCTGTACTGCAAGCAGCATTTTTATTCCCTCTCAGGATTACGTCATTGACCATATTTGGACAGGGAGAAGGGGGACAATATTATACCCAGTCTCCCCATTCTAGGGGGCACAGAGTAGTCAGTACAGGCAAAATTCAGCTTTGTTTCTCAAAGCACAATTCAGTTCCTATTGTGGCATGTTAGGAAACTTTGTGCATCACTTATTTAGGCCAATTCCTTGCTTATGTGAAGAAGGCCTCCAGTACCCTACATGTCTCCAGTGTACAAATGGCTCATATCTCCACCAAACTTACCAGTGTAGCTGTCATGAAAAAATTCCATGGCAAGAGTGTCCCAAGGCCAAGAATGAAGAAGATCAGCCAAACAGCTTTATAGCTGGGGGATGGGGAGAAAAGCATTTAAAATGATTGCAAACCAATTTTTGTAAGGCTCACATTTTTACATTTCTCATTATAAACATGATATAAACATTATAAACATGTTGCTTCTAAACACTATGACACTTTCAGATTTGGGGCAGAACTCTCAACTTCTGGCTCTGTAGCCAGATGCTGTACCTAAATTAGAGATGGGGGTATTCATATGTGAATGTCCCCATGCAGTTAAGAGTTAACGAAGTTTTCTAATCCTAATTTGCAGCTTGAAACTCCTTTTCACTATAATTACCAGAATCCTACAGCCTGTATAGCCACTTCAGCAAGTTGTGCTGACTTCCAGCCTTCAAGAAATATTTGGATATAGTTTCTCTTGTATGGAAAACCAGCCAAAGGAGAGATCCATCAGCGTGTGTGCTATCAATCCTTAAACATGCTCTTCAGGCTTTAGATAATCTTGGAACTACTGAAGAAGCAACTTGTGAGCTCCCATTAGATTGCCGGGATCTTTCATAAAATGCCCCTTGGTGATACCTTCCTGTGTTACATCCTCATTGCCACTAGCAAACTTACCTGAGCCATGCGAGGTCATGGGTCTGGAAGAATTTCCTACCAGTGCCCTGACACAATGTTCTGGGGCAATGTGAAATATTTAGAGCTTGGAAATTCAGTAACCACGCTGGTCAGAGAATTCTGGACATTTTAATCCCCCAAAGGTCCAATTTGCAAATTAGAATGAGGAAATTAGAATGGCAGTAGCTCCTGGCCCCACTTCTCTCCTGCTCACTGGAATTCCAGAAAAGATACTCTTTTTAAGGATAGCTTAAAGCAAGTGTTTAAAGTGAGCTTTGTAAGGGCTGTGGGAATCCAGCAGTTACTCACTGTTGCCATCTGATGGTGCCTAGTACTCAGTAAGCAGAACCATAGACTCTTGGAACTGCAGAGCAGGAAGAGTCTCCAAAGATCATTATGTCCAGTCCCTCTGCTTAAAAGTGTCCCGTGAAAGAGAACCTACCACCCTCCAAGCAGTTGATTCCATTGTCAAATGGCTGTCACTCTGTTAGGAAATTCTTCCTGCTGTTTAAGTAAAAGCTCCTCCTTTCTTGTAGCTTGAATCCATTAACTTTGGCCCTGTCCTCTGGAGCTCAACAAAACAAGACTGCAAAAGTGTGCTGCTTATATACCACCCCATAGTGCTTCAAGAACTCTCTGGGCAGTTTACAAGTTAATTATGCAAGCTACACATTGCCTCCCCAGCAAGCTGGGTACTCATTTTACCGACCTCGGAAGGATAGAAGGCTGAGTCAACCTTGAGCCGGCTACCGGGGATTGAACCCCAGGTCATGAGCAAAGTTTTGGCTGCAGTAAAGTGGTTTTAACCACTGCGCCACGAGGCTCCATCAGCGGTTTTAACCACTACGCTACGAGGCTCCATCTTCCACATGACAACCCTTCAAATACTTGAAGATGGCTATCATATCACCTCTCAGCCTTCTCTTCTCCAGGCTAAACATGCCAGGTTCTCACAACCTTTTCTCACTGGGCTTTGTTTCCACAGCTATTCCAAGTCTGGTAGACCTCTTTTGGACAGGTTCCAGGTCTTGATATACTTCTTAAACTGTGGTGCCCAGAACTGGACATTTCCCCCAAAATAAGACAGGGTCTTATATTAATTTTTGCTCTTAAAAACACATTAGGACTTATTTTCTAAAGATGTTTTATTTTATTTTTTTCATGTACAACAATGTACATTTATTCAAATACAGTCATGTCATCTTCTTCTGCTTGCTGCATAATGGTGGAGGGCAGGGTTTCACTTAACTGCGGCTTATTTTGGGGGTAGGGCTTATATTATGAGCATCCTCAAAAATTCTACTAGGGCTTATTTTCAGGTTAGGTCTTATTTTCGGGAAAACAGAGTACTACTCTAGAGGAGATCTGATGAAAGCAGAACAGAGTGGTGCTATTATTTCCTTTGACCAAGACATACTTCTGTTGATACACCCTAATGTAGCATTCTCTGTTTGTGTTGGTTCATGCTTAGATTGTGACCAACTAAGACCTGTAGATCCTTTTCACATATTCTACTGTTAAGCCAACTGTCACCCATCCTGAATTTGTGCACCTGATTTTTCCTGTGTAACTACAGAGCTTTAGATTTTTCCCTGTTGAAAGTCAATTCAGAGGAAATGCATGCATTTGCCTCTGCCCATACAAGGAGGTAACATCTGCCTTTCTGTTCCATTTTGCCCCAGACATACCTGTCAGGAGGGCTACTGCCTGTCATTATGGCACTTCGGGCAAGAGCGCAGGAGGCTCTTGTGTTTGGCAAATTTTCACTGTTTCACTTCACTTCTGGGCCCCTGCAAAGTCACAGGAAAGAAAACTCAGTTAATATGGAGCAAAAAACTGTCCAGGAACAATGAAGAGCAATGGAGGGTGTTTACACATACAAGAAATAAATAAGGATGTTGAAACAAACAGGATCAAGAAATTCTCACTGAAGAAATTGTACATAACTGCTATATATGGAGTTTTCTAATAAAGTAAGTGCTCATTTCAGGTTTTTTAGGTGATTCTAATCTTAATGATCACAAGAAGCTTTATTATGCTGCTCCCCTGATGACTTTTTTTGGAAACACACACAGTAATAAATGAGTGCTGTTTGTATTTTAAAACTGGCATTTGCTGATGAGTATTAGCAGGGTTTTGCTGTGAACCCAACCCTTTAACCTTTTACCGGTAAGTTTCTTCTCATGACCAGAGAGGGATCTAATCCACACGTACTTGCATAAAATCCACAGAACAGACAGCTGTTGGTCTCTTATTAACTGAGGAAAAATCCTACATCCCTTCCCAGTACCTGCCATCCCACTTCTCACATGCTTGCCCCACTGATCAAAGGCTCAGCATTGAATCAATAATGGAAACCCTAATGCCAAGAAAGCTCTAAGCAAATATAACAAGGGAGATGTAAGTGAGTAGAACCAAGACTAGGAAACCCAGAGCAGAGGAGCCAACACAAAGGATTGCAATTTGTGCTCAGACTTTCAAAGACGTCAAATAGAAATGGAGGAACAAAGTGGAGTGAAACCAACATCTGGCACAATAGAGGCTGGGAGAACAAACAAGATTGAGCAGGTACACAGATAAGTATTGTAGATGGCAAACCCTGTCCCACCCTTGCACAGTTTCTTTGCTGGAAATATTATAGAAATTCCTTATGAACCATATCCAAAGGCTTGGTCGGGTGATAACTTTTATTAGTCAATTCAAGTCAATTCTGACATACGACGACCCCTTTCAGAGTTTTTTCAGGTAGAGTATACAGTACTCAGAAATGGTTTGCCCCCTTCTTCTGGGGGCACCCTGAGACTGTGCAACTTGCGCACAACTACATAGCCTGGCTTTTCTCACAGGAGGCACAGTGGGAAATTGAATTCCCAACTTCTGGCTCTGTAGCCAGATATCTAAATTAGAGATGGGGACATTCATATTCATATACGAATATCCCCGCGCAGCTAGTGTGAGCAAAGGTCCAGCCCCTGGGGCCAGACCGTCCACTCACATGTCCGCTGGCAGCCCCGCTGATCCTTTCAGTTGCTCCCAAGTGCCATTCTCTTCCCGGTTGGCTAGCCGCTCCTGGCAGGGGGTGGGGGAGGAGGATGAGTCTCTCTGCAAGACTGCCAAGCAACGTGACTGGAAGGAAGAGAAGGGCTGGTCCGGGCCCAGGGGCCAGACTCTAATTAACTCCAGCTGCGTGGGGATCTGGCTGCAGAACCAGACGTTGGGAGTTCGATTCCCCATGGTGTCTCCTATGAAAAGAGCCAGAATGTGTAGGCATGGGCAAGCTGCACAGTCCCACGGCACCTCAGAAGTAAACCACTCCTGAGTATACTTTACCTGGAAAACCCTGAAAAAGGTTGTCATAAGTTGAGTTTATGACTTGATGGCATGCAGTTATTACTACCTTCATTAAACCACTAAAATCGCATACATAGAGCTCCACCCAATTTTTTGTGAGGTAGGCATTACAAACCTGGGCTGCGGTATGCGTACAGAAAGAAACAACAGTTCCAAGATCCATGGCCCAATATACAGGCCAGGTTTCTGGTTTAAAAAGAAGTTCCAAAATGGGAGCTTTGAAATCTATTCAAAGATGGCAGGCTTCAGATTTCAATTCTGGCAGGTGTTAATTAGAATACCTCAAATTTGTTAGACAAAGAGTTGTCAGTCACTTAGTACCCCCCGCCCCAAATCTTGATATCTAAATGCAGAATTCTTTTTGTTTGGGAGACAGAGGAGCATGGAAACATGACAAATCCAGTATCAGCAAAGTTGAGATAACATTTAGCTTACACTAAGCCAGTAGCCCCCCCCCCCATGTGATGGACTGACTGAAGAGGCCTAGGTTCAAATCCCTGCTCTGCCATGGACACTCACTGGGGGGTGTGCAACTGGTAAAACCACTCCTTAAATATCTCACTTGAAAGTCATATTGGTATTATAAGCCACCTCTGACTTGATGGTACATAATAACAACACCAGAAGAACATTTGCAGCCAAAGTAAAAGTATTACTGAGTAACTAGAGGAAGATGTTGTCCTGAGTTGGTAGTGCTGCTTGAGCAAATGTTAAAAACTGGCCTCTATGTATGAGGTTTTAATAATCTAATCACGTTATCACCTACCCTTGACTTTGGATGGTCTACAAGGCCCTGATGGCCCTTTTCAATCTTATCTGAGCCATTTGTAAATGTGAATCTGGATACTCACTGCCATTATTAGCTACAACTCCACAATAGCTAAAGCCTGTAGATACCTCAGCTTAATTACACACTCTTCCATAAGCTAAAAGAAATCCAAAAGCAGGAGACATGGTATTTTATAGTACTTTTAATTTTTGCTCCCAACTAGATAGGGCTGTTTTCTCCTCAGCTTAGTGTGATTCATTATTAAAGCTTTGTGCCTATATTATATAACTTTTAATCTACTTTATCATACGTTTGAGAGGTGAACATCATCTATAGCAAAAATGAGAGACTGAGATTTAGAATCGGAGAATCATTGGCTTGGAAGTGTGATTTTGCATTGGGGAACTGATAACATTAACAGTTTTCCAGTTCTTTTGTTTGTGTATTCCTTCCATCCTTCATTTGGCTGCTGCCTGTGGTTCCCCACACATTTCTTCTCTTTCCTATCCCATAAAATTCTGCATATTTCATGTGTGACAGAAAATGCCAAAACCACAATTCCCTTGTACTGGCTATAGTTAATATGGAAATTCCATTTTGGTAACAACACATTTCAACTCATTTCAAAATATGAAGGAATTTTTTTTAAAAACCTTAAATTTATATGCTATCCATATAAACTTATCCTATCTTGATATTTTTAAAAATATCTCTCATGGTCTATGCTTCAGATTTTATATACTCATACACCGTGACTTTCTCTAGTTCTTCCATGAATTGTGTAATTTATACTTCTCTTATTACGGTATTTTTACTACACAATCTGCTTTATATTATTTATGTCACTACAGTATTATCAACATATAGGGCCCTATGTGAAGTTGTGAACACTTCCCCTTCTGTTGGAAGAATACCCTGCCTCTTTTGAATCAAGATGATTCAAATTCTGATCATTTTTTTCCCTAAAGTTCTTCCTGACCACCCACCAACTTGAGTGGAAGAAACAAGTTGGCTGCCTCTTTAGAGCAAAACATTTAATGTGCTGATCATAAGAGAGTCTACTTCATCTCCACTAATGCAACCACACCATTGGTTCCTTCTCACATTAAGTAAGTGAATCCCTTTTAAGTTATAGGTAGCCCTGCTCTACTGTTTCTTTTTTCTGCCAGGAAAACAGGATATCACTCCAACACAAACATCTCTCTCCCTCCACTCTATTTTAGGAAAAAGTGTTATTTTCTACACGGAAAAATATGGTATATTTATATTATTTACAAATATTTAAAAACTATTGATCTCAAGATTTCAAAATGCTGCATTCCATTTTAGGAACCTCATAGAAAGGCACAGGATGCAGTACAATGGCCAAACTTGGATCAGAGGTCATTAGACACCGGTTGAGACATAGGTCAGCTCTGATGCTACCAAAAAGTCTCCATTGTATATACCATCTATGTATTTCTTGGCATATATAAACTCTGAAAACAATGGATGAGAACCAGCTTTCCTGCCTCAAAAATACAGGCACAGCATTTCTGTGAGGGCATGTTCACGGCAAGGAAATTTAACTAATATTTATGAAGGGTCACATGAGGGACATGTTACCATTTTTCAAGCAAGAAAATCCCAAAATTTATAGTCCAAAATTAAGATCTCGATCTCTCCCACATACACACATAAACACAAAAGGGGGGGGGAGCAATTGCTAGATTTGGATTTATATCATAGCTCAGTGGTTTAGGTATCTGACTGCAACGCCAGAGGTTGGGTGTTTGATTCCCCACTGTGCCTCCTTGACAGGAGTTGGCTTGTTGATCCATAGGGTCCCTTCCAGCCCTGCAGTTCTATGATTACTACATTTTTATCTGGCAGTCATACCACTAGGTATTACTATTGATTTAGCTTCATCTTGTGGGCAGGCTACATTTTATTCCCAATTCTCTGATGGGGTTTTGCCACCTTTCTGTGTAACTCCCCACCCCCAATAGGAACTTTGAGTTTCAAAAGAAGGGTGGGGGGTGGTGGAATGCTGAATACCTGGCAGCTCTTTGTTTAATGACTTGGGAGACAGAATCCAACCAGCAGCCATGAGGTGGAATCTGAAACCCACATTCCTGACCTGTGTTTGCAGCCTGCTATTTCTAAGCTATCTTTAAGAAACAGACCTGCCACAAACATCTGCCATGACTTTGGGACTTTCATATGTTTTTTCAACCCTATCCACAGTTTATTATTGCAAAGCTAGCAACTGCAATTTTGGGGTAGGTGGGGTTAAATAAAGGTATCATCTTTTCTAGTTTTCCGAAGCCTAACATAAATATGTAAATGACCTCTAAATTCACTCTGCCTGCCTATGATAGTTCCCTTTCTTCATGACATTCCAGTGCATCTTTCCTCAATCAAGTCTCTCTCATCCTATGTTTTTCCAGAAGCCATTATTACTATTATTTTTATTTCAAAAAGAAAACAACAACATGCCATCATAACCTTAACACAGACAGCAATTCAAAATGCAGATGAGAGGTACTCCTCTCTTGCCTCAAAATAAGAGGATTCAAGCCAAGCAGAATGGAAACTGAGATTTAATATAATCTCTGGCCCTATTAACCCTTGCCCTAGGCAGATACAGCAATCTTTCCCTCTTCAGACCAGAGGGCAGTATAACGTGTT